GACCACGCGAAGAAATTTATGTACAAGCGACAACTGCCGCTCATCTGGTAAAACGATGGTTAAAAGTGGTAATGTTAATATTAGCCGTTTCATTATAAGGAAACATTCGGCATGCATTGATCTCGTTACCGGCCGTTTAAATTTTTTATAAATTTTCTATTAAATCAATTTTTCGAGAAAACAGCTTAATTAATTAATTGTTTTCACTCTCTTCGTTTGTGTCAATATTTCTGATAAAACAGATTTATGTATAATAAATTCGATAGTTAATATTAACTGAAGATATGTACAATAGTTGGATGCAGACGATAACCCGATGCGTAAGCATAAACGGTACTGTCAGCCCTGATAAGTAATGGTGAACGTTTTTGGAACAGCACTGGTTTCAGGCATCCTAGCTTCCTTCAAAATGGCCAAACAATTAATGCACTTAGTTATGTAAGCCAGCTGGAAATAGTAAATTTGAAACTCAAACAAACAGTTCCTAGTTTGGTGAAAAGAAAGGGCGCTATTTTATTGCTTGATAACTCACGCCCTCAAATGGCAAAAAAAGACGACCTTCCTAAAGTTAATCAGTTGAAGACGGATATTTTATTGTATCCTGTGTATTCACCCGAATTCTCCCACAGATTAGTATGTTTTTCCAGCATACAGACGACTTCTTTCCAGACAAGAATTTATCCAATCACAATCAATTTGAAAACACTTTCAATTAATTTGTTTCTTCCTTTAATCACTTACAATCATTTAAAATTATTTAGGGACAGAAGTGATGTCTTATTGTTATGGTCAAATAAATACATGGAAACGCTTGTCACTTCAAACTTTATTTTTGGTGGATACCCATATTTGAGTAGACGCCCACGTTTATTTTAAACAGTATATTTATTTTCGTCTAACGGTCTGAATATTCGAGAAATATTATCTTACTTATTATAAAACGCAGATTGTGTGTGTCTGTACGTTTATATATTGGATCAGATTTCTTACATTTTTCAACCGATTTCAACAAAACGTCACAGGACTGCGTAAAATTACCTTGCGGTGGTTCTGACAGCGCCAAATATTGGAAAAACACAATTGTTTTTGCATGAAATCAATTTGAAAATTTGATAAAACACGATTCTGTCGCCAGAATGGAAGGGGGACAACTCATATCGTGTTATACTTATAAAACCCAGGTTGTTTGTGTGTGTGTGTGTGTGTGTGTGTGTGTGTGTGTGTGTGTGTTCGTTTATATATGGGAACGGATTTCCTACATTTTTCAACCGATTTCAGCAAAACTTCACGTTTTTTTGGCAGGTAGTGTTTCTTATTGTCTTGCACACTTTTTTCTTTATTTTTACATTCAGAATGCTTTAAAAATTCCATTTACAAGACAATTGTTTATAATAAAATTATATTCAATCAATAGACCCATAACGATTGAAAACAATGTTTTTGTTTGAATTTGGGTTTGACCAATTCGTAAAAAAAACCCAAAAAACAAAACAAAACAAAAAAAAACTAATTAAGACATGCGTGTCCGTCAACCTTAAACAATAATCTTTGTCAATTTTATTTTTCAGTCTTTATGATGGTCGATATATGATCTATGTGTTACAGTTACATCCCCGGGCAATGCCGGGCTCTACTGCTAGTCAGTGATAAAGATGCGCCTTCCAGCAAGATTTGGACATGCGTCCTCCTTTGTAGGAGAAACAGTTGTTAGACCCTACGTGCTTTTAATCGACTCTGCCACGACAATCTTTCTCCTTTTTTCCGAAAGTTCGTAACTGCTCAGTTTCGTATCCGAAACGTAAACAGAGCAATTCTAAAGAACTAATGTTTTTGTTATTTATTTATTAATCCGACAGATTTTATCAATTTAAATGTCGCTATTCACTAAAAATAACGTTTAAAGTGATGAAAATGATAAAAATAATGTTTAAACTGATAAAAACATGGAGGCTAAGGGAGTGAATAAATACTTATTCTATGAATATTAAATAATGGACTTTGTATAAATAAAGTGGTGATTTCATATTAAGCAGCCCGCCTTCCTAAATAATAAGTATCTACGTTCAAAATTAATTATTTATCTGTTGATATAGACTCATTAGAGTAAGGGTGGATGTTTTTAGGGAATACAATTCTTCATTTTCCTGCTACGTTATTTCAGTAATCTGTATAAAGGATACGCGGATTTGAATCTTTCAGTGAATTTAACACTCAAGCGCGTTCATATTCATACGCATGCGCGCAAACACGATTCAATTGCTTTGCGTGAACAACAAATAAAGCGATACATTCTCCAAATTTATACACTTCTGATTGTTCAACTTGAATGTTTTTTCAAAATTTACAAAATATATAATATCGTTTTATTTATATGAATAGACACTATTCAACATTTTTCTTTTTCTTTCTTTGCGTTTTTAATGAACTTTATTTTTTGTTGTTTTTACAGTTTTCTTTTTTCTGTGTTTTTAATGAGTTTATTTTTTGTTGTTTTTAATAGGCTTCTTTCGTTCTTCATTTTGTTGTTTTTACGCGTTTCTTCTCTTTATTTTTTTCTTTTTTCTGCGTTTTTAATGATTTTTTTGTTATTTTTAACAGGTTTCTTTTTTTCTTTGTTTTGTTGTTTTTACGCATTTCTTTCTTTTTTTCTCTTTTTCTTAATGAAGTTTCTTTGTTTTTACAGGTTTCTTTCTTCATTCTTAACGATCTACTTTCTTTCCTTCTTTCTTTCTTTCTTTTTTCTTTCTTTCTTTCTTTCTTTCTACGTTTTGTTTTCTTCAACAAGCGCTTTCTCTTTACTACTTTTCTTTCTTTCATATGTTTCACGACTTTCTTATAAGTTTTACCTTTTCTCTCTCATGCGCTTTTCTTCCATCACTTGTTCATTTTTTCCTTTCATTTCCTCTCTCGTTCTTTTTTCTCTTCTTCTCTTTTTTATTATAGCTTTCTTTAAATCTTCTGTTCATGTAGGTAGTTTATAAGCCAACTGTAACTGACTGGCTAAATTATACAGATAAAAAAAAAAAATCGTAACTCCCCCCCCAACAATATACCCAAGCCACCATCGTAACACTCATGCTCAGAAACATTACTAAGAACTCAATAAATTAATGAATAAAAATCAAATAAAACCCACTTTCTAAATAACATCTGAGGAAGGAAGGAAGGAAAAAAAAATGAACGTTGCTTTAAATTCCTGAAAACCAGGAAACGCGTCTTTTGAATCGGTCTGGTTTGGCCACATGTGCAGGATGTATTATCCTTCAGTTATTTGTACGCGTTAAGTCTTCTCACCAGCAACAACTGGTCACTCTCTTTGGAGATCAAGTGACAACAAGTCTCTTCAATATTTTACCATTCTCTTTAGTATTCTTGCTGATTTTTAGTAAAGCTTTCGTCTGAATGGTTTTAATTTTACCCCCGGATCCCTGTTCTTTAAATATTTTTGCAAGGTTTTCCAGAATTCTTACAAGTACGCCAGTATTGATGAGTATCACTGTCACGTCCACCTTCCATAATTTTTACACTTTTCTGGCACAATATCTATATTTTTCCATAATTCTTTTTATCAAACCCCAACTTAGGCGATAAATCTACTAAGATACAAAGGGATACTGAGGGTGAAAGAAAATAGAGTTGATGTAAACGTCATTGAGGACGGAGGAAAATAAAAGAACAGGAATGAATGTGTTATGGTCCAGGTTAGGACCAAGGAAGAACAACACGAACACAAGAGTAGAAATAACGAAGGTATATTACACGAAATAATAATACAAGATGTGGAAGGTGTTAGTATGACTGTTAGTCTGGTTTGGAGTGAACTACTATTGGCCCGACTCGATTCGATATTTACTTGCCCCCCCTCCCCCACGAGGGAAAGATGTGGCACAAGGCCGAGTTTTACGTGGGTTTTCCGAGCCCGTAGGCTCGGCCAAAAAATGCCCGTAGAAACTGTAAAAACAGAATCAGGTTGGTCAACCTCCCCGAACGAGACTGCCCTTCGGCGGCGCCTCGTCCGGGTTCCTCTCTGCTCAGAGGCAGAGAGTTCGACCGTCAAACCGAGTTTTTCGGCTTGACGGCCGAAACCTCTCTCGATAGGCGTAGTATACATCGTGTTAGAAAGAGTTCATTCTGTAGTTATAGGTAAGGATCCATGACAGAATGAGAAAGAAGACGACGAATAACGTTGCATTTACATTTTTGAAGATCGTAGTTAACAGGAAAAGCTAGAAGCTATTACACTTAAATTCATGAAGTCGAGATACCAAAGTGGAAAGCTTATCAGAGCAATTGCTATGAAAATATTTATTTTAAAAAAGGCACAGGGAGGCTACCTTAGGTCGATGAGAAAGCCATAACGTGTACTTTACTCTTTTTTGAGTAGTTACACGTCTACTTATCATTTCTCTGTTGCGTCTCTGTCTTTGGACAGAGTGCGCTCAGGAGCTTCTCCGTCAAAGGACAGTGGGGCAACTGAGGAAAATAATACTGAAGAAGTGTCTAGCCCTGGGGAACAGCTGCCCGAGGCCGCGTCCTCCCATTGCACCAGAGGGAGGGATCGGTGCTCGCATCGAGGCCAGCGTAACCGATGGTTTTGGTGGCTGAGGGGAATTTTTGTTCCTGTCCCGGGCGTACGCGCCCGGCGCCCCACCTAAAAACAGACCTTGTGTCACATCTCGTCCTAGTGGGAGGACAGAGTAAATACCGCGATGAGAAAGCCATTGAATCCGAGATACCAAGTAAGAACCGATAACATTGCAGATTCTTTGGATTCTCTAGATCCATAGCAGAATCACCAGACCTGATACAGCAGTAATATTCAATGCATGGGAGAATGGAGGACTTAAAATAAGGTTTCAAAGTCAAGCAGTCTTTGTAATTATAGTGTTCAATAACAATAGACCATTAACAGTAAAAAATAGTAAAACATAAAATTAAATGTTTCCTAGTTTCCGAGTTTCGAGGAAATTTTCAAACAATTAGTTTTAAAAAAGCCAATAAACTATTAATTAAAAAAGCATGATGCCTCGGCGAATGAATATATTTTAACAGTTTCCTCGAGTAGAGAGATAAGTAACTATTTACATTATTCGAACTATTGTGCTCATTTTTGTTGCCATATTTATCACAACGTTTCGGCTGTTGTACGCTTCGGCCTTCTTCAGGTGTTTGGAATGTCGAAATGAACCCTTTATTTCGCTCGTTGGGGTAGTCTGTTCTAGTTCCACGTGCCATGTCTATTGGATGTCAGTTATCAGTTATCTCCTGTTAATTCCCCTCTCCAAGTTCTCCACCGCCTTAACGAGGTATTGAACTCACTGTCAATGGATCTAACTATTCATTTCAACATTCCAACCACCTGAAGAAGGCCGGAGCGTACAACGGCCGAAACGTTGTGATAAATATGGCAACAAAGATGAGGATAATAGTCCGAGTAATGTAAATAGTGTACATAATATAGACAGATACAGATAAGTAACTATTAAAGCGTCTCTAAAGTCTTTGTGTGACTAAAATCCTTAATAACTTTGTATTCATAACAGACAATTGTTAATTATCTAACACGTATTGGACTTAATCTCCTGGCTTGGTGTAGGTGAGACCGTTTAAATTTTAAAGCCTCACAGAATTTCAGGCTTTAAAAAATATCAGACAAATTCAAGTTTGTTCATATACCCTGGTTTACATTACCAAATCTCAATCGTTTCCATGGTTACATGGAAATAATCTTTTTACCAATCAACGTCTACTTTTGTACTTTTCCTGAACTTATTTATTCATTTTTGATTTGCTGTTTGAAACAATCATTTACAAATTATTTCACCTGAAACCCAAGATAAATTATTATTATTATTATCATTATTATTATTGTGTGTCGTATCGTCTTTCCAGTGAGTAATATTAAGGGCCTAATTACCAAGTCCCCTCCGGGGTCTAGTAGTAAAAATGACACTGTAGGAGAGTTACCTATGCTAAGGTTGGAACATTTCGTTTAGATGGGGGAGAATTTTGCGGATGATATGTTGTTGTAGCATACCTACTGAGGATAATGGGTATGTCCCCATTTATATAAATATAGTAGTAAATACTGTATGTTGGTCTCCAGTTGTAGATTCGTCTCCAGCTGTGCTGATCAAACTCTCTGCCTCCGGGCAGAGAGGATCCCCAGACGAGACTATGTCGAAGGGCAGAGTCTCGTCTCGGGAAACAGCTACCCGACCCCGTTTTATACGGGGTTTACGGGGAATTTTTTCCGAGCCTACGGGCTCGGATACCTTACATTAAATTCGGTCTTGTGCCACATCTGACCCCGTGGGGCGTTTGGTAGATATCCTGCAGTTGGAGATTCATTGTGGAATTCACTTGACTCATTTATAGCAATTGACTGCTTCTTCTATGCGCCGCTGGCGAATCTTATATGTGTTGTTCTTGTCGTAAGTATTATCGTTGATTACCAACCTTCGTTTGATTATTCTATTCAGTAACCTTCTCTAGGTTACAACATATGTGCAGTTACGCACGAAATAATCTTTTGTAGCTCTAAGGTGCTAAAGCGTCCAGGAATCTTACTCATGGTTTTCGGTAGCCTTATTTATCGTACCCGATGCGCTTATCCCATTAGGGATAATTGTAGTTTTAATTTTCCACATTTTTGTTACTTCGGTTTGCAAGTTTTTGAAATTCTTTGTTAGAATCATTGGAATTATGTGGGCAAATCATATCAATTAGTTGATAGGTTCCTTTTTTGTAATCTTTTATGACTGTCTGATCTAATTTCATCAATTTTCCTGTCTGTGAGGATTGAGAAATTCCACAGAATAGTCATTCGCTCACCATTTGTAACATCATTCGGGTGGTGTTTGTGCCATGTATCCGGGACTTTAATGCCATAGTTCGAACAGATGTGCCAATGAATATATTGTCCTAGCTTGTCATGTTTAATAATGTAGTCTTTCTCAGCAAGGATTATTATTATTATTATTATTATTATTATTATTATTATTTCCTTTGATTTCTGTTGTATACCCATTTCTTCCCGGCTCCCAACCAGAGACCCAAGGTCAGATATAGCATCATGACATTTTCATTGGTTATTTGTGTAAAAAACCCCAAAAAACATAAACATAAAATGTAAAAACAACCTTAAAACACACATATATTTTACATATATAAAACCCTTCATAGGGTGTGGGCTGTTCTTGTGAGAACAATGTTTTGTATTTCTTTAAGGTATGGATTGCTAGGGATCCCTTCAAAAAAACCTTCTATAAAAACCTGTTCCAATCAAACTCAGGACCCCAAGGACAAATGGAGTTATTGATGTCCTCATGTACCACATTTTCGAGATTTCTACTTCAAAATCCTTGTATTCTGATAGTTTTTTGAAGAGCTCCAAAGCGATATTAAAATCTACATGAATTGCCATGCCAATAAGAAAGCACAACCTGTTTTTGTGGTCTTTGATCATAATGTCTGGGGAATTAGCTTTGTTCTGTTTATTGTAAAGTCCCATAAAATTGTTATTTATTATTATTGCTATTTAACCTGTAACATCGTTCGATTTATTACATCAAATACATCAAATTTTCTATTCATTCCAATGACAACATATATTGCAGAAGTTAATCACTCCAATGATCACTCAAGTTAATCACCCCAATGATCACTCCAATTGATCACCCGAATGATCACCCTAATGATCACTCAAGTTGATCACTCAAGTTGATCACTCAAGCTGATCACTTCAATGATCACTCAAGTTGATTACCCCAATGATCACTCAAGTTGATCACTCCAATGATCACTCAAGCTGATCACCCGAATGATCACCCGAATGATCACTCAAGTTGATCACTCAAGTTGATCACTCAAGCTGATCACTTCAATGATCACTCAAGTTGATTACCCCAATGATCACTCAAGTTGATCACTCCAAATGACTATAGTGATTTTCTAAGCATAGCTTAGATGTGGCACAAGGCTGAAAGTATGAGGCAACCACTGAGGATCGAACTCACTACTCATTCGTAATTGTTATAGCGAGACAAGCTAGCTTGCTAACCATTACACCACCTCGGGGTGCCCTCACTCTAATGACTATATATATTGCAGAAGTTGATCATGTCTATTCGGCTAGAAAAAAATGAAATTCAGTGGCATATTTAGAGAGTACAAAGAATGCATTTTGGACTCCAGCACAGAAAAATTTGTAACAGTCTACTCTTTATAATTAAAAATATTGTCGTTGCGTAAACATTACGTTATCCAACGAAAATAATGGCTGGTCACTCGTTTGATTTAGCGTAAACAATAATTTAAAGAAGGCCAGCACGCTCAAACTTTCGGGTGACCGTTACTGTTAATGCCAAACTATACACAATGTAACCCACAAAGCTTACCCGTTTTTGCCAACAGGTGCTGTACGCAGGGACCGACATCCCAAGCTGCTGTTTATCAAGAAGTCATCTTGACAAATAATCACTGGTAAGATTCGAACCTGGATCTTATAGTCTGAAGTCTAGCTTTCTAACCGCAGTAAATTTAAATATATTTAGTTAAAATATACGGTAGTTTTGGTTAACTTCAACTGATGCAGAAGAACTGTAGGTATGCGTATTGATTACCTGAATCATTTCATTTTTGCATGAATTACAACCAAAGAAAGGTGTGAAGATCTTTAACTGAGTAATTAAAAGGTGAACATCAACACAGCATCATTAGAATAGAATATGATGAATTAATTACCGGATTTTAAAATATTTTATCTAAAATTTGTTTGATCAAATCACATAGTCTTTCGTGCAGTCAGGAAAAGACCTCGTCATCACTGCAGTGAGAATAGGACTGCTGATGATTTCAGTAGAGTAGATAATCTTAATCGGGAAACGCATAGGAGTTGATGAAAATAGGCATTAGCAGTGGTTAGGAATTAAAACTAGCGTTAAAGGTTATTATACGTGTAATGTAAATGTATTCTTGACGCTATTATGATTATTTCAAAATATTTTGTTATATAGAAAAGTATTGCAAATGATTTTACTATAGAGATTCATTGAAAACCAGGAAAGGGGATTTCCATTGGTTGGGAATTGTTACTGAGAATATGAGTCTATTGCATGGATAATTCTTCTTCTTCCTAGATTTTTGTCTTTTTCTGTTTTTACTACTTGCTTATAGTGAAACGTTCTTTATAAGCCACATTGCTTTTTTCTCCATTAACAATTATTAACACAAACATTAACATGCAAATGTATCTAGTAAGATTTTATATATATATATATATATATATATATATATATATATATATATATATATATATATATATATATATATATATATATATATATATCTTCTATAAATCGAACACTGTGTGTCACGGCGTGTTTATTCAAAAATAAATACGTAAAATTAACCTTGTTCTCTGCCGGGAGCTGATAGCTTAGGGGAAAAATTTCCGACCGATGCCAAATCAGTCGGGTTTCGATCCTGGCTTGCAGCAATCGGATGTCTAGTCACTCTGATGAGCTGTGATACAGCGAAACAGTCTGTCTGTGGATATATATATATATATAGTCATCACAGTCATATATATATATATATATATATATATATATATATATATATATATATATATATATAGAGAGAGAGAGAGAGAGAGAGAGACCCCTATCTGCGAGCATGTGTTTCAAAATCCACAGCTGGTGCCTAAAAATTTAGTTTGTAATTTTTTTATTCTATTTTTATTAAAGTCCACCAAATACAAGGCCCAAGAGCCACTCAAGGCAGAGGGTTACCGAAGTGTGTGATATGAATATGAGAGGAAGAAGTAAGAAGTGAAGATTATGATGATACGGCGAACAGATAGCTATTAACCGTAGAATTGAAGAGATTAAGATTGCACTATTCTGGGAAGCATCTACATGGGATTCTGTTCCCTAAAGTAGCAGATAAATTAACGGTTAATGGGAATTTTCAGAGTGGATCACACTTCTTACAAAAGGAATAGATAGGCATTGAGGATGATTCAACTCTGTGAATATAGTAAGGAAGGTCTTGGATGTAAAGGTCTGAGCTGGTGCCACCGAAGACTCTTCAGATATTAGGGAGCCCGAACTATGTAATATCTCGAATACGTCACGTGAACATTTCCATAGAAACAGCGATAGAGTGGGAAAGGGTGTTGTAGGATGGAAGATAGGTCATCCTTCAGAAGGCCGCGTAAACATTTTTATTTAACTCTGTCAAGACTGAAAAGTAAAGATTGGGTAGCTCCAGCTCAGATACAGTAGCAATACTCCATTTTTGGTCTAGACTGACTCTTGTAAAAGATAAAGCATTGTAGGAGTCTGGTACTTTCTGGAGCGGTACAAGGAGCCGACCATTTTCCGGTATCTTTAGTGATGGAAAGTATTTATAAGTTCCACTAATGAAAAAAGAAAAAAAAATTAATCACTATATAAAAATTTAATTTATTTAATATAATAATCACTATATAAAAATAAAAATATTTAATAATTACTATATAAAAATAATTTACTTTAGGAAAAATTTCTGTTTGTTAAGTTTACTACTGAGATTTACTTGTATCACCAAATTATTTTTTCCTTAGGATGAATGATATTCAACAATAAAAAAAACCCCAAAAAACAAACTGTAAGATAGATTAAAAAAATGATATGTTTATAGGAAGATTAAAAAAAAAACAAACAAACAAAAGTTAATTTATAAGTTATGGAAAATAATACAGCAATTATAGCATCTATATAAATAAAGCGCAGTGTACGTCCGTCCGTCCGCCCGTCCATGTTTCGATCTTAGCAAATCATAAGCAACCTGTTGTAACAATTGTAGTTACATGCAATTAAAAATTAATATATAACTAGTTTAGAGTTAAATTTATATATCGAACAGAGTGAAAGGTTTTAAAAAAATAATTCTTTTATTAAAGGTTTAACTTTAATTTCGTTTTTCGTCGCAATTGCAATTGGTATCGTCTAATTAAAACTGTAATTAAAACTTAAGCGGGGCACGGTACGTTGCTCATATGTTGTTTTTTTTTTTTTTTACCTTTTTGTCGCACGTGACGTATTCGAAATATTACATAGTTCGGGCTTCCTAATATCTGAAGAGTGAGTTTATGTGAAGGGATCATAAAGAATGGTGATTTTAAAAAGAAAATAAAAATTGCGCGCAAAATAAATGTAAACAAACTGTGGAGAAACAATTTTATTACTTCTCTAAATTCTTATAACTTTTACGTACATAAGACTCTGAAGGTAAAAGATCAAAGGCCCAAAAGCCCTCTGCAGGAGCTAGGCTAAACTCTGCTCGAAGGGCGATTTCTAGGCTAGCACTGTAATTAAAGATGAATAAAAAAATTCCTTTTTACCGCAGTAACTTTAGGAAATAATTTTTTCTTATAAAGTTTTCATGGTTTCAGTTAGTTAACCGTGGTCAAACCCAGAAATAAGCATTTGACGTAATTATGGTTCCAAAGCAGAAGAGTGTTTTCTATAAGTGAAAAAGTAAAATAAATCGTATGCTGAGGTTGCTAAAATCTACGGCAAACAATATTCTTCTTCTTCTTCTTCTTCTTCTTCGTAGTAGTAGTAGTAGTAGTAGTAATAGTAGTTTTTTTAGTATACAGAATCAACCAAATGTTTTCATTAGCGCCGACGTGTGCGGGTAGCGTAACGGATATTTGGGAGTAAAGTGGAAACGACGTTCAATTTCGGAGCTAACCTGTTGCGTTCACTTTCGCACAAATGTCTTTGGGAAAGAAAGGCGCGCATCTATTCTTATCCTTCTTTCACAAGCTTTGTGTTAGATAGAAGCCTAGACTGGACTCTCTAGTCTTGCTACTTGGGAACCAGTCAAAGCGACAGAAAATACTCATTTCCAAACAGCGGAAAAGGAATTGGGAAAACACTCTATTGTTTCCTAGGAATACATCGTAATCCACTGCTAATAAACAAGAATATGTTGAGAGTTATGAACGCTGAGGTCATTGTATTTAGACAAATGGCGCCAACATTCAAGGATACAGAAGAATGATTTTTTTTTTTGCATCTTTTTTACGGCATTCCATTTTTAAGGAGTTTCACTATCTTTTCATTCTTTTTTTTTTTTTTTTAAAAAACCCTTCTATTCTTCAGCGTCTCCTCCATTTTTACCCGTCACCATCGTCTTCTTTTAAGGTCATCCGACTGCCTGTACGATGTTCATCCCCACTCTCTTCTTTCTTCACTGTTTTAAAGAGTAACAACCTGATTATTGCCACTTCTACACCTGCTGTTACGATGAAATTAACGTAGCAGAAACTCGGAAGCAGCACACTTATCTATCTATCTATCTATCTATCTATCTATCTATCTATCTATCTATCTAAGCTTGTTCATAACTCTCTGAGCTTGTTCATATCTATCTATCTATCTATCTATCTATCTATCTATCTATCTATCTATCTATCTATCTATCTATCTATCTCAGTCATTCATTATCTATCTATCTATCTATCTATCTATCTATCTATCTCGCTCTCAATATGTATATATATAGAATAGGATATAGAATCCCAAGTTTTAAAGTTATTAACACGTTTAAATAAAGAGTTTCTTTCCACTCACCCCCCCACATATATATATATATATATATATATATAATAGGATAAGGAATCCACACAAAGTTTTGAAGAAATATGACAAAAACAAAACCGTTTCATTGAAACTAGATTTGATTACGTGTATCGCCTTTCTAAGCTTCATCAGATAAAACTAACAAACCGAAACGTGTGTGTATTTGTGTGTATGTTTAAATAATAATATATATATATAACAGTGGACATTGACGTTAACACAACGATTTTTTATGCGTGCACGCAATCTTCAGGCCATGTATGTTTTTATATATATATATATATATATACACGGTGCGATGGATAAATTGAAGTCTACGCAAAAATAAACATAACATTGACATCTCATTTTAACTGATATATTTACCAAAATTAGGCAAAAATATCTTGAAATACATAAGAGTAAATTTATTCAATAAAATTGCTGTTGTTTTTAACCACAGTCTCCAGACAATGAGTTTGTGGAGTTAGGTGGACAGATATAAGAGGTGGGGGGAGATGTGATCACAGAAACTGTCTGACGGCCGTAACTGGGTTCTCCTGCTTGTGTGGCATGGTACAGTGTCCTGTTGCCAGACATAGGGTCTTCCAGCGGCCGCCCTCTTGATCCAGGGCAGCACTACCTCCTTAAGCCACCTGATGTAGGCCTCCGTGTTGAGTCTGAGGCCACGTGGAAAGATGAATGAAGGTATAACTTCCTCATCATTAGTGATCTAACAAAACACCCTCGTAATCGCTACCCAACTATTTCCAAATCCTTTCTTTGCACTGTCCTCAGATCGACACCCAAACACTCTTGGATTTTCAAGAGCCTAATAACGACAATTCTGTTGATTGAACATGCCATTGAGATGAAAATGAGCTTCAACACACATTACCAAAATGAGGTTGTCATTTCCCTCCAAAATTGCTGCCATCTGACGTGCAAACTTAATCCGCCGTGCATAGTCCCCTGCCATAACTGTTGCCTAATGACCAATTTTTAGGGGTGGAAATGCAGTTCCTCATGCAAAATACGCCTTACTAAACAATTATCGATGCAAAGTTCTGTAACATGTTCCCGAGAAGAGCGATTCGGACTGCGCGTTCCATATTTTCAGGGTATGTACCCTTATCAGTCTGCTATTCATTAATGTACGAAGTGCATGGACCCGAGTGTGTTGCGAGTGAGAACAGCCTGATTACAGTGAATGTTGAATCGGCGACGAAACATATACTGAACTGAACTGCTGTGACAGACTTGTTATTCTTTACGAAACTGTAGTAGACAAACACGTGGTGCTCTATGTAAGAGAACTCGAAAAAGTTTAGTCTAAGACAGTGATTCCCAACCGATTTTGGGCCATGCCTCACTTTGGTATTTCCAAAATTCTGGTGTCTCCCTGTAATATTTAATTCTTACTTATTCAAAATTTTTTTACTGCAATTCGCGTGAAGGAAGCAAACTGAATGCTCACGCGCGCTGATTGGCCGACAAAACATGGGCTCTTCCAGCGACAAGAAAATTCAAAATTTAGAGATTTTTATAAATATTTAAAAAAAAAAAATTGATCAGGTCCGCGGTTGAGCCCGGGTTCGTCGCCCGGGACGCAGAGATGAAAAAAATAGTTAAATATTCTTCTCTTGCTGGTAGATTTTTTTTTATACTCCTTTGGCAGTGGAGACTTCAGGGTTTATTGGCCCTCGTTCGATGGCGTTCCTTTGGAGGGTTGGCGCGATTTCGTCTCGATTAAGGGACTAGCCTCGCGAAACGGAGTGGCTCTTGCAGCGTGTCTCACTGGCGATGGTTCGAGGTAATGCTTTCTCCATCATTGCGGCTGGCAGAGGATAGAAAAAAAAATTGTTTATAGTTTCTGGAATTGTCATCAATGGTCAACTGAACTTGCTTTGTTTCAATAAATTCGCCTCTAATATATATATATGAAAAAAAAAAAATTAAATTCATAGTTAAGGATAAACAACTCTTACTTTTGCATTTAAAAAAATAAATATAAATATTTAAAAACTTTTAGGAAGAGCAATTAAAAGGTAACATCTAAAATAATAATACATATAATATGATAATTAAAAAATAAATGAAATAATTAGTAAAGACAAGTTATTAAGAGAATTTAACAAAATACTATATATTAAATATAAATTAATAGGTAATAAATATAAGCTAATAAATAAATAAATGTAAAACAAAATATAAGTGAAATATAATGAAATATAAATTAATTATTAAACATAAATTAAAAAAAATAAACCTAAATTAATTCTTAAATATAAAATAAATTCATATAATACAATTAACTATTACAAATAAATATAACTTAATTGTTAAATATAAGTTTTAAATATTAAATCTAAAGTTAAGTATAAACATTTAAATATAAAATTATGAATTAAATAAAATATTAAAAAGAATAAAAAAATTATAAATAAAAAAATATTTAAATGAGATAAAATAATACATATAGTAAGGACAAAAAATAAGAAAGAAATAATCATAATAATAGTAGTAATAATAATAGTATCAACAATAATAATAATAATAATAATAATAATAATAATAATAATAATAATAATAATAAAAAAGTTGTCAACAAGGACCTTGAAATAGAAATCTCGAAAATGTGGCGTATGGGAACATCAACAATCCCTGTTGTAGTTGGAGCCCTAGGACTGGTTAGAAAATATTGTACAGTGGACTAATTGAAGGGATTCCTGGAAGTCCATGCCTCAAGGAGATACAAAAAATTGTTCTGGCAAGTACAGCCCACACTTTACGAAGGGCTTTATCTATGTAATTTTTTTTTTTAGTCAGTGGAAAGTGTCATGACGCCATTTCTAACCTTAGGTCCTTGGGCGGGACCCGGAAAGAAATGTGTAAACGCCAGAAATCAAAGAAAATAAAAATAATAATAAACCTATGTGGGAGGAAGGTTATTTTATAATATATGAATGATAATGAGTAGAAATAACAGTATACGTGTTAGGTGAAAACAGATTAAGCAAGATCAAAAAATTCTAGATCGCCATCTTCTGTCTCATTAATTATTGTTCTTTCGTTGTCCTCTCTCCTTAATAAAATTTTTTTCTCAGTCTCTTTCTCTTTCAGTAACCTTTTCTGTCTGAGTAGTTTCAACGGTTCGGTTGGGTTGAAATTATTAAAAAAAAAAAAAGAAAAGAAAAAGAAACATGCCTATTTATCTCTTTTTATATTATTTCTATTTAGGTTTGCTAAGGCAATAAAATGTTAAATGTTCCATATTGTTTGTAATTTAATTCCTATCTCCTGTTCGATAAAACATGGCATGCAGCCACAAGACTATCACATACTGTCCCTTCAACATAAAAGTGAGGGTCGAATGAGCTGCCCACACCCTACACACGTTCATAAACCTCCAATATATATATCCGATTGTTTCAAGCCGGGATCGATATATATATATATATATATATATATATATATATATATATATATATATAGAGAGAGAGAGAGAGAGAGAGAGATAATGTGCGGGTTGGGATATAGACAGTGCGAGGTTAGACATTGATATATATATATAAAGATAGATAAATAGAGAGAGAGAGAGGGAGACAGAGAGAGCAAAAACATTTATTTTCAATTATTTTTTCATATATTCTTTTCATGTATAGTTTGTTTATCTTTTCGGCATTGCACCCGAACGAAACTCTATGACTCACGTCCGGTGAAGAAATGTCTGAAACCGAATATTAAAAAATAAATCAATAATAATAAAAAAAAAAAAAAAAAAAAAAGCCGAAACGAAACGGAATGAAAACGAAAAGTGAAGAGAAGGCGATTAGAAACAAGTTTAGCCCACATTTCGGAATTTATGTCATCCGCTCGCGAAGTATATTTATTTGTCGACGTCGACCACAAAAGATTTTTCTGTCATTTTAGTCTTGACCTCCCAACTTAAAGAATTTTCTTCCAACATCAGGATTTTTCCTAATTATTTTTTCTTTTTAGTATCAAACGATATTTTTAGTTTTTATAAGAATTGTTAAAACATTATAATATAATTCGTCCTTTCTTTTCGCTTTACATTAAGTCTTTAGACTATTTATATTCGAACTACTGTTCTCATCTTTGTTGTTCTGCCTTCCACACTTCAATAGTTAAATAACGTTTTGTATAATTTAATTAATCTACGATGTCAGACTGTTATCTTTCCACTGCTCAGTCTCGTTATTATTTTTCATACTGCTCCGTTGCTATTCTGTTTCTATTGAGTCTAAGCACATACTGCCCGACCTAGGGATTGAACTCACAATTACTATGTCTCCACATTCACAGCCAACGCTTTAATCCACTAGGCGACGACCCACTAGGACAATTCACCGTGGAGAAGTTAGAGCTTTAAATCTAACCTGCCTGTTGATAAGTACTGCTGCTGTTTCCTGTTATAATTGACTGCTGCTTCTTTCTTTACTTCAGCTCACATATTGCATTTATTTCTATGCTAGGACTTGTAAGGAGCTGATTCTTTCGGACGTCTAATTCTCCAGTATTTTCACCTCATTCCACAGGGGCTGATGACTACCCTTTTCCCTCCATACATGATCAGCCATGCTCGATTTCATTGTATCACCTCTCACTACGGTTTTTCTGTGTTCCTCCAGCCTTACATTTAGAGAGTGCCTTGGTTCATCATTATATTCGCTGTCACAGCTGCAAGGGATGGAGTACACACATTTCTTGTCCACGTTCTTCCCTGTGTTAGGCTTTACTCGACAGAGATTCCTCCGTAGAGTGAAACTGAATATTGTGCTGATGTATAGCTCGCAAATCTTCTGAATCTTTTCCGATAAGTCCTTAGCGTAAGGCAGACAAACCGTGGCAATTCTTTGGTT